ACAGACAGTAATGTATGTGCACATTACCTGCTTCACTCGATTTGTTATTAAATGATCATGCAATAGTGGTTTGACTTTCTTCATATTCTGTGTGGGCAAAATAAGAGCTGCCAAAATTCACACGAGAATTATTTGGCGTTAACCGCTAACAATATGACGCCGACGCTTGGAAGAAGTAGCAATCGCCAGTGACATTCCGCGGAAACTATCGATTACAGCTCGTGATGCGATATGCCAACTGATATAGCACTCATCATTATTTAAAAAATTGTACGTATTGTTATATTGATTACATTTATTTAGAAACTTGAGCATTTAATATATTTCTTAGCTTACTTACAATTTAAAAAGAAAATCGTATAATCTTTTTTTGAACTACTATATACTCTTGTGATTAAAATGATAATAATAAAAAGCACATGTTCCACATTTCGTGACCGTTTTGGCATGTGCGAATCACGCATCTCTAATAAAAACATTTGTGATGTGTGACCAGATATTTGCAAATAAATCAGTATTTGCTAATTGGAATTTGTTTTGCAGCGCGCCAAATAACCGAAACTCAAATTATACCTAGGCAACAAAATAAAAACATCTACATAATTATATCACTTAAATTTTGATTTATTGAATTTTGTGCGTTCAACAGAAACTTTGTAACTTATGACTAAATAACTTATAGATGTTGTACATGCTTATAATTACATAATAATGCATTAAATAGTCTTCAATAATAAAACTAAAGTGAGCGGAATGAGGAATATGATCAAAGAATCAATTGGTACATTTCATAGCGCAATTTCATGCAATTGATTTGCACATTAATCCAGTTTTGTTAACTAAAAGTTATTTACCTAAAAGAGAATGGAGAGCGTTGAGACTACCCGAAAAGGCACTACTAGTGGTACACACATATATACATACATATATACATTTATATATATATATATATATGTACATACATATATTGATAATACAGTTACAGGGACTGCTGCAATTGGAAAGATGTAGAAATTAATTTTTAAAGAGTACAAATTATCAGTCGGTGTGAATTTGTGTTTATGTCTGTGTGTCTGTGAGTATATATATATATATATATATATATATATATATATATATATATATATATATATATATATATATATATATATATGCTTGCATTGTTTTTCTGCAATCCGATTTGCTCTTTCATTAAACAGCTGCTGTTTGTTGGAAGACGCAATCAGAGCACCTTCTTCTCGGACAGGTGATTCCGCAGATCGTTCGCCGCACTGGTAAATGGGCTAACGTTCGCATCGGCCGTTGACGGCTTCATCTGCTGTTTTGATGCATTGCCCAAAACGGGCGTAGAGCTGATACGCAATTGCAAATTACTGGTTGGTTTTGACGGAAAATGATTTCGTGTATCGTGGTCGGAGTTCTCAAACATATTAATCGACGATGTTGAGAATGTGCGGGCCAACCAAATTCGATTGAGAATGAGAGCGATATGATCTTTAATGCGAATTACTTGTTGGACCAGCGAGTCAATAAGCGAGCTGGTCGTATCGAATTCATTCGGAATGATGCCATCCACGGAATTCTCGAAATAACTGAACATGGGAAACCAGATCCGTGTCCGCGTCGAATCACTTTGCATGAGAGCCTATTAGAAAATTTATTTATGTTAGATCGAACAATCCATTGACTAAATATTAAAATACTTGCCCGATTGTTGGACAGCGTATGATAGTAGAGAAATAGACGTGAAGTGATATAGAAGGCAACAAACACATCAATCGAATAATGCTCGTGGGCAGCCAGTATGAAGAAGATGCCAAACATATTCAATAGCCAGGTCAGCGTGTGGAGAAAGTAGAGGTTACGCGGGGTATCTAAAGAGGAAAAGTCGATATAAATTATTTCTTGATTAGATTAAATGAATACTCAATACTCACACTCAGTGATAAAGAAGTTAAGCAACGTCAAGGCCACCGTATGCCCACTGAACATATAATCTCCACAGGTGCGTACACCCTGTATGGACATGCCCAAGCCGCTCCAGATGCGATAGGCTCTCGTCATGCGTATGACCAGAGCCCCAAAGACATCCACATTGGGATCGTCGATGGCAAAGTCCTTTTGATTGCACTGCAAATGGGTGCCGGGCACACTTAGCGACGTAATCAGCATCGTGACGCAACGCAGCAGGAATACAGTGCCAGCCAGTGCAAAGAAACGCCGCAGCAGAACCATGCGATACTTGTGAAAGATCAGCACAAACAGCCAAATTGTAAATAAAAGCGTGCCAGTAATCTCACACATATTGAACGCCCACGGTATGTGGGGCACATTGTCGAGGAATATATCCGGCAGCGGGGGATAACGCTTCATATCGGGTACACGCTCGTGCACTATCACCATTACAAACGATGTTATCCATGTGACCACAAATGAATAGCCTGCAAAATAAATAAATGAAATAGAGTTCTGCTTAACAGTGAACAATCAGACTAATAATACTTTGTTTAGCTTAGAACGAAAATGGAGTATAACTTCAGTAGAAAAGACACCCAATTCGACGCAGCTATTTGAATTTTAATATGGGCACAGTGGTGTAAACAATTTAATATTAAGAATTGAAGTGGACACTTTATATGTGTACACTACTGTAAGCACTGTAAACTGTTATATGTAGTAGCTATAATGGAAATGTCAAGTGGAATAAAGGCAATTATATAACAAAGAAATCGAGCCAGCCACTTAATATGGAGCAGTAGGAACAATTCAAGGGAATCGAAACAAAATATAAAATTGATCAGAAACATAAATAAATTCAGCAGAAAAGCCAAACAGCTACCTAATTCGGCGCAATTGCTCGAAATTGAGTTAGTCACTTAATCTGGGCACAGTAGTGTAAACAATTCAAAGCAGTTGTTAAGAATTAGTTGAACTGGACACTTTATATGTGTACACTACTGTAGACTGTTATATGGATATATGTAATATACCTTGTTCAATCAACGAGGCACCTAATATTGGTAGACCACTGTAAACAATTTTAGGCAACTGTTAATTATACAGAAATGTGTTTTTTTAATCAAAATATAAGATCAACTGAATTTTTAACGATAATTATCTACATACATATGTATTTTAAATTGAAGCAGTCACATAATATGGGCATCGTATTGTAAGCAATTCCACGCAACATTTTATAACAAAAAATATGCTAGCGATTAAATTTAGAATAACTTAACGAATCGCTTGCCAAAGTTTCTATGCCCACAATTAAATGTTAGAGCATAATATTTAAAAATTACGTGCACGCAAAGTTACACAAAAACTAAACAAAAATTAAATTCCACAACATGCGCTAGGGAACTTAAGTGGGAGAGAGAGGCATGTATTTACATACATACATATGTATGTATGTACGCTTAACCTCCAAATACTAAAATAACAGTAGAGCGCGCGTCACTGGCATAATAAAGCTGTAGCTAAATTTGATAATGTACGCACACCCACACATACGCACATATGCATATCTAATGTAAACTCAATCGTAATAAAATTAGATAAAGATTTGTCATTATTTCAAGGTTATTTCCAATTGGCCAACTGACCGATAAGACCCCCATTGACCCCCATTACATCTCTTTCAGCCCCCGCCCCACCCTTTCGTATGCTCACCTAAGCTGATTGCCGTCTTAAAATATTCGGGCGATACACAACGCTTGTTTTTGCCCTGGAGTGTATCTGACATGGAAAAGCTGCTGCCGCGATCGCGCACCGAGGGGCATGGACAGGATTCCGGCGGGGGCGCGACAACAGGCGCGGTAATGAAAACATTTCCACGCGACGACTGCGCCAAATGGCTGGAGATGCCCAGCATCAGAGGCAACGTGGTGGTGCTCAGTGCACCATTCGATTGCAGCTTTAGCTGCTGTTCGTGCAGCAGCTGCTGATCCTGCTGCTGTTGCCACTGATATTGCAGATGGAAGACCGTTTGCCAAAACCGCTTCATCTCACCGAAAGTCAGTTTGTAGGCCAATTTGTAGCGCAAGTCGCGGACATCCTCCTCCGTTAGGGCAAGCAGCACCTGACCATCGAATTCCTCGGCACGCAAACACAGGCGCATCTCTTGCGAGAACTGCTCCAGACAGCTCCACTGCTGCACTTCCTCCACCTTCCAATCAGGTATCGACTTAATCTGCAGGCTTTGATTCGTGTATTTCAATTCGTGGAAAGGAACTTCTGTTTGGGCTTCAGCACTGGCGACTTTTGCAGTCAGCGGTGAAGTTTGCACCGCATGCTGAGTCACAGACTCGCAACAAATTTCACCGTCAACATCGCACATTGTTTAGCTTTCTTTTCCCTCTCTCTCACTCTCTCTCTCTTTATATATTCTTTTTTTTTAACTTTGTATTTTTTGTAAGGGAGATTCAATAAATCTGGTTAGCTTTGTCTAGTAGGTATCGCGAGTGCTGCATTGTTAGCTCTGTCAGGTGCTGATCCCGGTTCGAATATTCACCGACACATAATATTATGTATAAACACTTATTGTTTAAGAAATCACACGTTCAATTTTTACTTGCTCTCGAAATTCCAGCGACTGCTTGTTTTTCTTTTTCTTTACTGACTGTTAACATAACCATGTTAGCTGCTAAGCGATGCTGTTAAGAGTTTTCTGCGGCCAACTTTACGTGTCTCAACTCTGCGCACAGCCAACATTAAGTAGACTGTGGAATCCACAATCTGTGAAACAAGTACAAAATGCGCGCAAATTGGCTTTTGAAAATATTTTATCAGTTTTAGTTAAATAAAAAATAAACGTTTTTTATTTCGTATTTACTTTGTCGCGTATATACTGTTGCAATACAGCCCACATCAAGTGCCACAAGTGCGCAGCCAACTTCACGCTGCTGTTAATTTTAAATGTGCGCCAAAGTAGATTTTGAAATATACTTTTTTTTCATTCAAAGAAAATGAATGTAATTAAATTAAAAACCAACTTTTCATTTCCTCAATTCATCGCTGTTTTTTATTTTAATATAAAAATGGCATTTCTTTACTAATATTAAGTTTAAATTACTAATGTAAAGTATGTATGATCGCGGCAATTGAAAAATATATATGCATGTGTGTATATCAAGTGAAAAATATTTATAATGAACATGAAACGTCTCAAGCAAGTGTACATATACATATGTACGAAAGCGTGTTCAAGTTTTACTTAAATTATAAATTTTCCTTTTTCTTATTGTTGTTTAACATTTTTAAAGTAAATTAAAGTTTGCAAACGAATTTAATAAACTTTTGTCTACGTTTTCATTACTTAGCAAAATGTACATCAAAGGAAGAAACAGATTAACAAAGAAAAAAAAAACAAAGGATTTGTATATAAACTTATTTATCGTTCATCTTTTATACAGTTTGCTGTTTCACTCGCTTAGGAAAATGATTATGCAAAAATAAACTATGAAAGTTAGTTAGTTAGTTTTGTCATCTCTTTTCTCATTGCTATTTTGAAATACAATATAGTTTTGATACCTTTTACAATTATGCCTTATATGCTATGTACCTAACATATATATATATTTTTTTTTGCTTTTTATTTAGTTTTTGTTTTTGCTTTATATATGTACGAAGCTACTGTTGAGGTTTCATTGAATTGTGTAATTTGTTTATTTTTTTTAATATTTTTTTTTAGACGTGTTTGTTGCACCATTTGCAATGTGTTTACTATATAGTTATTCTTGTTTCATACATACTATATAGATATTTGTCATTTTTATTTAGAATTCTCGTTATGTGAAAACGTAAGTGTAACAAGTTATTTTCTTTTGTTTGCTGTTTGTTTTGCGTTTTAAGCTTTAAAGTATTACTTCCCTTTTGTTGTTGATGTTCCAATACAATCTTTTGTTTTGTTTCATTTTTTTATATATGTTAATCTAGTTTTAAACTATAACTCTTTTTATATTTCAAAATATATAATAAACACAATGCAGTTTTTAAATATTTTTTTGTTTTTTGTTTTTGTTTTTAAATGAGGGCTTCTATGTTGTTTTTTATCTTTTAGCATTTGCTGTTGCTACTGTTGCTGTCGCGCCGGCTGGAAAAACCGCCACATAAGATCGTAGTGAGAATTTAGGCTGCCTTACGACAAATCTGAAAATATATCCAATTTTATAGTATAGTTTTGCATATAGTATATACGACTTACAGCTGGGCGCTGCCTCGTAACGACGCTGGATCTGATCGTATGTGAATTTGACAAACGCATCATATTGCTCAGCCAATTTGGTGGTCAGCACGGATTCGTAACGTTCGCGCAGTTGATCCTCTCTCTCCTTGATCATGCCCTCGCATATAAGCTGCACCTGTTTGAATGTGAACAATGCCTTCTCTCCATGATGGCGCATCATCAAGTGACTCGGCGGGCTGTCCGGCCGATGCGGACTCTCCGGTCCCATTTCAGAGCCGCTCGATTCCGAGTCCTGCATTCGCTCTAGGGCACTGGATGTAATCGGCAATTGTTTGCGTTTGTGCAGTCTTTTGATTTCATTGCACAAATTCTCGGCCATTTTGTCTGCAAGAGGTTGGGATATTATAATAATAATAGAACAATTGATATATATATATTGAACGAAATACTCACCTGGCGACATCTTAGATAAGGCAGACTCGGAGAATGGACTTGGCTCATTGCTGTCCTTGGCAAAGCGATTGCTGGGCGTTGTCGAGCTGCCGCTGCTGCTAGCTGCATCATTATTGTTGCTGTTGCCGTTACGCGATGGCGAATTACTGCCAGATTGTCCGAAAGGATTGCAGCGACGACGTTTCGTGGGTCGCTGATTCAGCGACTCCCAATCCAAGGCGCGTTTAAGTGTTGCACATGCCATAGCTATGTTAACTCTTTATTTATATATAGGTGTATAAATATATTTTTAAAATATATATATATATATGATAATTGCTTAATATATTTTTATTTTTATTAAATATATTTTTGTTGTTTTTATTGCCACACAGGTTTGTTGTTGGAAGCGTTCGCTGTAAATGAGAACAAGATGAGAAAAGGAAATATTAGACTAGAGAAGCGGCCAACTGAGGCGAAATGAAATTCGAAATTTGAAACTGGTTTCAAGGAAAACAGGATTCACCTGACGCACACACACACAGAGATACACACCACCATAGACACACATGCACGCACAGTGAATAAAAGAAAATGGTGCAGCGATTTATGAGCTGGCAGCTGCTGCCTGCGAATAGAGAATTAAAAAGAAAACGAAGTAGCGATGCGCAATTAAAGGGAGTGTTCGGTACAAGCCACAGGCCACAGGCCGACAACAACAACTTTCCAGCACTACATCTACAACAACAATAACAACGCGTGCATAGCAATGCAAGGAGCTCAAAAGAGCAAAGAAAATTAAACTATAAACTGCGGTACGAGTCAACCACCACCAGCAAACACACTCACACAAACAAACAGTTTCTCACGCATCACGCACAAGTACAACAACAATATCGCGTATGCGTATCCTTTGAGCTGTACCAGCTGTTTTTACAAAGCAACGCTCTGTGACACTACTACTACTGCCCCACACACATGCATGCATGCACGCACACATTATAGCTGTTAATGAACTCAAATCGCATGTGAATGTGTGTGTGCTTGCGCGATTTGCCTGCTGTCATCATTTACAGTATTTTCAAGATTTTTTAATAATAAATGATTAGTGCTTTTTTACGTGACGAACGCCATGCCAAAACGACAAAAAAAAATCGTTTTAAAGAAAATAAAATGACAGCAGCTTATGTGCTCAGTAGTTGTCTCGCTCTCACGCATAGTCACACACACTTGCAGCTGTGAGTTGGAATTTTGATTTCGTGAAATTTTAAAAAATGGTCGCAGCAACGCATATCATTATCGAAAGCACATTAGATACTAATTAATGAAACATAAAATAATTGGCTTTTGCATTTGCTCACACCCAAATGCACTTACATTGATTTATAGTTGCTTCCGCTACAATTTCTGCACCACTTCACACACGCGTTTTATTTACTTTTTTTGTACATACGCGCACGAACGTTTCCCAGTTGCAGTTGAATTGTAAAACTAATTTATATTGCTATTGCTTATTGGGTTGAGCAGTATTTTAAAGGCCACTGAAATGCACTGTGCTACGGTTTCAAAGTTCTTATAATAGATATGATTTGTGAAATTTCTGTCTTTTTGCGATGTAATTTTCAGTTTTTTGTCGAACTCTTACGAAAAATGGACGACCGATGCATGCGTGACGACGATTCGTGAACAGAGAGGCGAGCCTTGCGATGGAAAAACGATAATTTCCACACCGTTATCACAAATGCAGACCTGTCACCGACGCCATAGCTTAAGTTTGGTACGCAGCTTTCAAGTATGAAAAATAGCATCATTGAATATCTGAATATACAGACTTTGAGGATTAATGAAATAACTATATGTAGAACTCATCCATTATGAATACTTTTAATATATAAAATGAATTTATTATATATTTAATCGGATTCGAACTAATTTTCGAATCTAAATAAGCAAAATGGGAAAATTTCAAGTCAGTATTTTTTGTTTTACAATGTGCATTTTCAGCCTACATTAGTACGGTAACACTGTTTCGAACGACAAAAGTAGACATAAAAAGGCAGAGTTCGATGTGAATTTGTGCAATTAATATTATTAAATATTTTTACACTTTTATAGTAAACAATTTTTTATTCGCTTGTCCAACGAATTTACAGCGTTTGTCAGCAATCTGCCCAGTGCGTGTGTATTATAATAAATAAATAATTACGTATCCACGGTAGGGGCCAAAAGCAGGCAAATCATAAAGCAGAGAGCAGAGCAAAGAAAGTTCTAAAAATATTTTTGATCGTCGTGAAAGTCGCATATTTTATAAAGCTTTAAATTAAAGACCAAAACAGCGCATACTTAATTGCAAAAATGGTATTGAAAGTGTACGTCAGCGGCATGTCCGGCAACAAGGAGGTGAGTATTTCAGTTTCCTTGCGGGCGGGGCTGCTGAAAAGCAAGCACACATTATGACAAATGCACATAGATATATGTATGTATATGTATTCGTGCGTATTTGTATGTGTGACTGAATAGTAGGAGTCAGTGTCATGTTAATGGAATGCTTGCCTAGCAGTGTGATAGACGAAATAAAAAAGAAATACCGCAATGCATATTCTATTTTATGCACTGCACATCTCGTTTGTTTGCGCTTGAGAATGCGTGTGTGTGCGTGCGTGTGAGAGTGAGCGAATATGTAGTATGTATGTACGTACAGTCGAAACGTCATCTCTCTAGCGTTCGCCCTCTGAACAGCAAGTGGGTATTTTGATTGGCGTATGCAAGTGTGCGTACGTTTTGATGGTGGTGGCAAGAAGCAGCACAATGACCGCAAACATTTCCATATAAGCTTATTTTATTGTCTGTGTGTGTACTGTGAAGCGCAAAAGAATTCATTGATTACAGTTTTTCATATATGTATGTATGTCTATTTGCGTGGGTACGGCTTTGTTAATATATTTGTGTGTGTGCATGATTCATGTATTTGACTCTCTTTTTTTTTTGTTCGCCTCATCTTTGTGCTAAAACAACGGCCATTGTGCAAAAAAAAAAAAAAAAAAAAGACAACGGGAGTGTTCGCTTAATATGGGTGCGAGAGAGAGCGAAGTTTTATATTTATGCCGTTGTTTATTGTTTGTAGACTTGAGACGTGTCAGCGCCACAAATATATATTATGAAGACATATTTGTTTGGGTGTGTGAGTGAGGAGACAATAAATAAAAACAACAGTTTATCAAAAATTAATTACAAGACAGCAGAGATAAGTGTATTGAAGTGAGAGTGAGAGATAGTGTGTGCATGTGTATGTGCGTGGGCTTGCCGGCAGTTGAAAACCAGGGCTGGAGGCTTATCAAAATAAAAGCAGAACTAAAAATGATTTATTATTTTGATCTATTTCCATTAGGTGAAGAAGCGCCAACAGCGAGTTCTGATGATCTTGGACAGCAAGAACATTCAGTACGATACCATTGACATAACAGAACCCGGCAAGGAGAGCGAAAAGGAGTTTATGCAGAACAAATCAACTAGCAGCGGCGGCACAGTCAGCGATCCAGAGCCCAGACATCCATTGCCACCGCAAATCTTCAACGACGAGGAATACTGCGGCGATTATGATGCCTTCGACTTGGCCAATGAGATTGATACGCTGGAGGTGTTTCTCAAACTGGCGCCCGCTGATACAACGGCTGTGAGCAGTGCTCAGATCGAGCTGAAGCAGGAGAACGGCGTGGCAAAAGAGGGCGAAAAGACCGAAGATGAGGAAAAGATAGCTCCAGCGGAAGGCGAAGGGGAAGGCACGAATGCGGAGAAGGCAGAGGTTTGAGAGCTTTGAGCAATTTATACTATTCTGTTTTAACTGTTATGAAGCGACAACAACAACAGCAACAACAAGCCTGCACAGAAGCAACAAAAATGACAACAATAACAAAACAAAAAAAAATTAACATTAACATCAAGCAACATCATTTAATTAATTACTAACGCCGCGATGCAATCAGCAAATCTAGCCAGCCATGTTAACAGTAGCAGCAATAACATTAAACTGTAATCTAACAGCATTTCAGCAACTTTGGCGGCAAACATCAATTTTTTGTTAGCAAATGTGCTTCTATTACCACGACTGCGGTTCTTTAAGTTAAGGTACTATCATTATATGTATATTTATACACGTACATATTTATGACATGCATAATGCAAGAAATTACAACGTTTAATCAAAAAAATATATATAATTTATTTATAAAATAATACACTCACACACTTTTGTATGTATATGTAACAAGATTTGTATTGATAACATTTTGTTAACACACATTCGAAATAATAACGCAAATTTCAGTTGCAATTTGATTTAAATACTAAATTTTAATTGAGTGTATTAAAACTAAACTATCTGTACGATTTGTGCGGCTGAGTTATGTTAATGCGAAAACATAAAAATCCGCTGAATATATAAGTACATATTTAATAAAAAATACAGACGAAATTAAATATATTTGTATTTACTAAAACAATAAGTTTAAAAGTCTAACAAGAGCAGCTAGCGTCAGCGCTTAACAGTTGTTTAACAGCGCATGTTAAATAACAGCGAAAGTTATTAGTGGAATTGTATTGTTAAAACTCGTCACTTTACATCAAACAAAAGGCAGAAGATGGCGAACAAACGAGCGAGGATAAGGAGAAAACAGATAAAGATGGCGACGAAGACGATAAAAAGGAAGAGAGTAGTGAAGAAAAGGTAAAACGTGAATGTTGTAAAATTCTAGCATGTGAAAAGAGTAGACGAAGTTAACAGTAATCAAAGTTAACAGTAGTCAATTTTAACAGTAGCTGCTATCGAGCTGCTAATCTCGCATGCTAATGCAAATAAAGCTTAGCAAATGCTGTTAAATGAGTATTAGCGAATCCTTAATGATATTTGTAAATATATTTTCCCATTTATACCATCCTGTACCATATCCCCACTGCAACAACAACTATACAAAACACTCACTCTTGAATGCAATGCACCAAATCCGAAATTCTAAACACAACTCAGACTGTAACCGAAGCTAAAGAAGGTAACGGCGAATCAGAATCGAAAGAAGAGAAGGAGGAAGCAACAGGTAAAATAAAGGATGCACAGCATGTTAATTACTCTAACATTCCTTTAATGCCAAAAGCAGACAAAACTGAAGATGAGCAGAAGGAGAAGGCAGAGGAAGACGATAAAAAAGAGAATGAAGGTGAGGGTGAAGGTGAAGGTAAGAACACGGAAGAAAAGGCAGAGAAAGCGGAAGATGCGGAAGGTGAGACAAAAGAAGAGTCGAAAGAAGATAAAGATGAAAAGGAAGAGAAGTCTGAAGAAGAAAAAACAGAAGAAGAGAAGTCCGAAAACGAAACAGAAGAGAAGTCTGAAGGCGAAACTAAAGAGAAAACGGAAGAGTCGAAAAAAGATGAAGATGAAACAGAAGAGAAATCAAGTGTAGAGAAAGATACAGTGGAAGAAAAGCAAGAAGAGACAGAAAATGTCGAAGAGACCGTTGAGTTAGAAACGCAAGAAAGCGCAAAAAACGAAGCTGCCGAAACGTCTAAAGAGCCCGAAGAAGCTGACGAAATGGAAGAAGATAAGGAAAAAACTGAAGAGGTGAAAGCAGAGACAAATGATACCAAAGAAGAAACAAAAGTAGATGAAACCAAAACAGAAGATGAGAAACAGGATGATGAAGAAAAGAAAGAAGTAGAAAAAGAAGAGGAGAAAAAAGATGAATTAGAAGAGAATAATGAAGAAAGCACCGAAGAAACTAAAGTAAATGCAGATGAGGCAGAAACTAAAGAATCCTCTGAAGAGAAAGAAAATCCTAAAGAATCAACAACAGACGAGGAGAAAGAACCCAATGCTGAAGTAGGAACAGCAGAAAAGAAAGAAGCCGACGCTGAAGAAGGAACAGAAGAAAATAAAGAAACGAAAGCTGACGAAGAAGCAAAATCTTCTGAAAAGGAAAGCGAAGGAGAGTAACAGAATTAGTGCATAAGCTGCCCATAAACTGAAACGAACCACAACGAACGAACACGATGAGCTGGAACCAAACACACACAAACTCACGCACACACACCAAATGAACCAATGCAAGCACTCACTTCAAATGAACCACTATCGCATCTGCATCTGTAGTCCATCACTTAGAGAGCACACATATGCACAAACACAAACACACACATTAGCACATATAAACATGAATTGTAAATAAAAAGTTAAAAAGAAATATATATTACTAATAATAATAAAAGTTGGTGAAGGGTAATAAAAAAAAAATTAGTTATTAAGAAAACAGCTTTAAATACACAAATTTTCTAACTTTCTCCCACAGACAGCGACAACAACAGCAGCTGCAGCCGCAGCCGCAGCTCCAGCTGCAGCGGTTCCAGTTCCAGCTCCAGCCGAAACGAATAATTCCTCGGCTCAGCTCTTAGAACGAGAGCGCGAAGCTGCGGCGCAATAAACGAATTTGAATTCTCCATTTATTTTATATTTTTGTATATTTTACTTTCCACTTATTAAAATTTCAATAAAAAAAATGTCATGTAAATAATTTCGTGTTTATTTCCTTGCTGCGATGCAATAAACAAAAGTCATATTCTCGATTTATTTGAATTTTGTATATTCTCTTTTCCACTCATTAAAATGTCAATTATAAAATTGAATTTATATACTTTCTTTCGTGTTTATTTTTATAATTCCATTCATTGAAATTTCAATTTCGTCTTTATTTTAAGAAATAATATAAATTAAATTCCAATATGTGGAATTTCAATTTCAATAAAAAAAAAAAACGTTTTCAGAATTTTTGAATAGTTCTTTGTTTTTCTTTTTGTATCCAAATAATTAAATATACAGTACATTTATAATTATGTTTAGTACAGAGACATTAAAATGAAGTTATTTTTTTTACTTATTTATTTACGTTCTAGTTTCGGGCTCTTTATCCATGTTTCTTTTGTTTTTTTTTTTTTTTTTTTAATTACAAAAACTAGTTAAAAAATGCGAATTTTTTTCGCAACTCAAAAGCATTTACTAATTATTAAAAAATGGATTTGGGAAAGGAAAACAAAATCAAAATATTTGGAGGAAAATGGAGAATGGATGAGTTGAAGTAGGAGCTGAAGTAGATTCATGTCATGAGCAACTCGCGCTCACTTTCGCTCTTTATTCATTAAATTGTCGTTGATTGTTGACTCTAATCGCCATTCGCCACGTTCATTGAACGTGGCTGAACAGATCAAGATTGAGGTGAATGAGTTGAAGTAGCTGCAGTAGATTCATGTCATGATCAACTCCCTGACTGACTCTCGCTCTTTCGGGTGATTGTTGCCTAATCGCTATTCTCTTCATCGGATGTATCTGTTGTATAGTCGCTCAGATTCTCTTGCTGATCATTGTGCTCCGGCTCCGATTCGCTCAAGTCCCATTGTGGGTGATCTGTGGGTGGTGCGGGCGCCTTCTGCACATCCAATTTCAGTTCCTGTTGCTGATCCATACCCAGATACGAGTCTATAGAAATGGGATAAGAGATTTAAATGATGGAAACCATAATATGGATATACTGTCGACTTACCTGATCTCAGGCAAACTGTAAAGGTGTAGACGCCTGGCCAACGGGGCGCTGTGAACTTTAACTGTATCTCCTCCTTCTCGACGAGATTTGTGACATGGTAGGGCGCTGTGAGCAGAGTGCGCGACTTGCGATCGCATATGTATGTCCACCAGTACTCCTGCTTCTCTTCCGGAAAGAATGGACAGTGCACTGTGTGCGACATACGTGACTTGCCCTCCAGGCGTTCGCGTTTATTCAACTTCGCCTGCAGCCTCTCCCACTCCTCATCGTCGTCGTCATCCAGCGAGGAATTGTTTTTATTCTGCTTATCCTCATCCTCGCTGCCAGAGGCGGGTACCGATTCCACATCGCTGTGCTCTCCGGCATCCGATTCGGCTTCCGAATTGGCGGCCGTTTGCTCATCTGCTGTGGACACAGTTGAAACAGAAGCAGCTGCTGCTGCTGCTGCTGTGGCTGTTTGCTTCGGTTGCGTCCTTTTCTTCTGATTGTTGGCGGGTTTCTTGCCGCCTTTGCCTTTGCCGCCCTTGCGCGACTTTGACCAAGCAGAAGGCTTCTTCACGGGCACAACAGCAGCAGCAGCACCTGCCTCATCATCATCGCCAGCCGCCTCCTCATTGGCATCGTCCTTAATGCCCTGTTTCTCCGGCACCTTTGTGTCCCCGAACAGCGTCTTCATGTCCTTTCGCTCCAGCGTCACAGTCACTGTTACAATTGCGCCCGCTGTAACCACATTGGTGTTCTCATCGTCGATCACCTCGCAGCGTATGGAGAAATCAATCAGAGGCATCTTGCCGAGCACTCGCATAATATTCTCATATTCAAAGTCTGAGAGATTCTTGAGCAGCATGCGACTCTCCTCCGGCTTCAGCTGGGCGAATTGTTGCAGATTCTTCACATGGCGCTTCTTGTTCATAAAATACAAATGATCCTCGGTTAGGTGGGGCAACTGCAGCAGCGGCGACTTGTAATCCCAGAGGCCCTGAATGATAATCGGGGACATCTTCATGCAGTTCTCGATGGTCTCGATACTGGGCAGACGGGGCACACGACGCGCATATGCCATCATGACCAACTGATGCACACAGCTGACCATCTCCTGTACCAGATACGGACACTTCTTCACAATGAATTGACGATCACGTTCTAGTGTCTCTGGGTTCAACGGAATACGTGAGAGATGGGCATGCAGTATGGCACGCGCTTTAATGGAATACATGCGACACAGCGGATGTTCTTTGCATTTTTCATTCAGATTAGGCAGTTGCCTAATCAGCTGTAAGAGAAAGGAAAAACATTAATGAATAAATCATTTAAAAATGTTGTATAAAGGTAAAATGTATAAATACTAATATTGCGGCTGTTGCTAACACTTACATTACAGCTGTTAACAGGCATAACCTAAGATAAGAGCTTCGACTGTTAACAGTCTGCCTTTAACATAACAGTTCTCCGCACATTTACTTAACACCTTTAGTTATGTTAGTTCTCTTAAAGCACTTTATCAGCCTTTATAATCAAATCTTCAATACGTACCGCTGGCACCTCATCGTTATCCGACTGCCGTTCGACCACCTGCGAATTGTGTCGCTTATCAAACTCCAGACTGGCTGCAAGCACCATCAGTGCACGTTTTAGTAGCATGTGCGGTGTTTTGTGTATGAAATAGAAATACATTTGCGAAGTATCCAATAGGACTTTATCTCCGCTGAAACGTATGGAGCGATACCACCAAATGCCAACTGCGGATGGCATGGCCACCATAAAGACTAGGCCATAGAGACCCAACACCCAAACGCTATTCTCCTTCTCAACGATCCATGAGGGGAGGGCAATACCAAACGACATGGCGCCCGGACCATCGGGATTGCCATATTTCTCATAGTTCTCCTTGGCCACATCATCGGTGAGCGCTTGATACGCTTTGCTGAGCATCATAAATGACTTCTCGTCGCCCGTCTCCTTATCAGGATGCAGGACCTTCGACAGCTTATAGTAGGCCTTCTTGATCTCAGCTTGCGTTGCTGTCGGCGGCACATTCAAGATCTCAAAGGGATCAAAGCTCGCCATCTCGTAGTCGAACTGTGAGACGCGATATGTGAGGAACAGCAGTAGCGCCCAGCCGAGCACAATGGCCAGCTTAATGACAACCGATTTTAGTGTGCGATAAGGTTCGGCATTGGCCAATATTATCTTCTTCTTTAGACAGTCGGGACATTGGCATTCCTCTTTCAGTTTGCTAAGATCTGTGCGAAAAAGGGTGCAAAGATTAGAATCACATGCGGTGAGAGCGAGATGGCTGCTAACATTGAGATCGCGGAGAGCGCTGCAGCATTTGCGCTCTCTCTACCTCTCTACCTGGTCTGTCTTTCAAAAATAAGGCATGCATGTATGTGTGTACGTTTGCGTGTGTGTGTGTTCCATTTGTGAAGTGAGCTGGCTTAAGCTGTTGTTATTGTAGCTTTCACCAACACGCAGACAGCGTAAAGCGCCGATTGGAAGTCACTGTTAGAATAACTTAATGGAACGTGTCCATTTGCAGCACTTGACACACACATGCACACATATTCACACCCAGACTTACACTCACTCACATTGACTTAAAGAGAGAGCTGCAGTCTGATTATAATCAGCATTAACTAACCTTCTTTCTTTTTACGTGGCCAATAGTAAATCGTTGTTGGTATCAATATAAGAGCCAAAAACGATAACACAAAGTAGTAAAATGTGCCGCCACTCTCATCATATTGAAACTTTTGACCCGCCATTGGAAAAGTAGCGCCGGTCTTCTAATTATTTACAAAAATCAGCGCAGTTTCTTCTTCTCTCAGAGGAGTTTGGGTTTTGGTGTGGTCGTCGTCGTCGTCTTTTTTTCTAATGGGCCCCCCAGCTGATGCTCTGGCACGCTGGCAGTTCGCTGACTGCGCGCGTCTCTGGTACTTAAGCAAATACGGGATCCCAATGAAGGGAAGATTTTCAGTTAGGCTCAGTTAAAATGCACAGCGCTTAATTGCACCAATTAAATGCCGCGAATTTAAAAAACTTATGTATTTACAGCAGTCGTCAAATGACACGTCTGTACAGTGTGACCGTGCCAGATTGCCTTGGTAATGCCGCAATTCAATGACACCGTACTAATGAGATCTTAAGATAACACAAATCTGCAACGGTCGGTTCGATTAAATTGCGCGAATTAGGGATTTGGATGTATTAACTTATTGATGGTTAGCGTATATTATGTTCGTTCCAGGGTCGTTTTTAATTTAGGCTGGGAATTTATAGATGAACTCGTTTCTAAATTTGTTCTCTGCTATAACTGTTTGTTTCTTTTTATACTCTGAGTATTAATTTTACGATATGCTTCCACTATCAATAAGTATTTTTTCTGCAATACGGTCACACACTATTTCAGTACTTTTATATATCGAATATAATATCGTCATGTGTATTTTTTTAAACTTGGGGATATCGATGCACCATTTACTTTCAGGCCACCCCAAGAATTTGATTATCACATCGCTAACAGAATAGTGAGCGCGTTGAACGCGCAATGAGTAAATTTTTGGTTCGCTGCCGAGAATTCGATCTTTTTAATTCAAATAACTGATTTT